AAAGGCTAGGAGTTTGGCCTTCGATACAGCTATTGATGCCCTACACAATATAATTGGTTGGCGAAATCATACGCCCCAGGGTCACTTATATATACCTACGTGTATATGCGTGTTTAGATGTCTCAGCGGGACGTCAGTACATAGCAAATTTGAGTTAAAATAATTCATATTATAAATTAATATAAATAACCAATTTTTATTAAATTTGAATTAATTATTTATACTTACATTTTATTCATACATTATTTATTATATACATTTTATTTTTATTAAAAGGGGGGCCGCATAAATCGGGAAAGTAAAATCCGGGAATACATTTAACAGGAACAATAATATACAGTAAAGTATAACCAGGATAATTATTACACAGGAAACTGATATTCGGGAAAGATATTTTGGGGAAAATATTATTCAGGAAAATAAATTTCAGGAAATTATTCTCTGGAAGGATATTACGTGGAAAAATTAAGTTCAGGAAAATATTTCTTAAGAAAGTATTGAACTGGAATGATATTATATAGGAAAATATTTTTCGGGAATGTATTTAACTGGAAAGATATAACATCGGAAACTGAAATTTGGGAGATATATTTTTCATAAGGAATAACATATAGGCAACTCTTGAGCCATAAAGGATAATCCTGCGGGCTTGTCCTGCCTACCTACTCTATATGGGCCAGTACTGGTGTGGTCTATACTCGTCTATACCTACTGTATGTTTTTAAAATAGTATGCGATCTACCTCGTACAATTTTTATATAAAATATATTATAATTACAACCATATTTTAATATTTTACTTCCGTATGACTATAGCAGGCTAGTATTATTAACCTTACGAATTTCAGCAACCATGGCTCACAAAATAAAAACTTGTAAATGTATTTCTAACGAAAATCTTATCAAACTTTCTAATACAATGTCTATTGATACAAACTTAGTTAGTAGAGCAGCGATAAATACGGCTTATGGACTACGTACTGAAGGTGTTGCGATTGAAGCATATAATAAAATGTTTAAAGTAAAAACTGTAAGAGCTGGACTAATTATACACTCCAAGTATCCATGGTTATGTGCATCACCAGATACATTAGTCTTGTCACAGAATGGGAATATAAATAAAATTCTTGAAATTAAATGCCCTATTTCTTGTAGCAATAAACTCATTTTTGATGTTAGATAGTAAAAAATGTAATTTAAGTTATCTAAAATATGAAAATGATGAGATAGTACTGAAATCATCTCATCAGTACTACACCCAATGCCAGATTCTAATGTTTGTTACAGGCCTTGATAAGTGTGACTTATTTATTTATAATTCTATAAAAACATTAATAATATGTTTAGAAAAATATGATCTTTTTTTGAAAAAGGTAATTTTAAAATTAGAGTATTTTTATTTCAACTATTTCTTACCAACTATCATTTTAAGTTCATACAAATAATTTTAAGACTCATTTATATTGTATGATATTTATTTTGTAATCATAATGTAACAGTACTATATTATAATGTGTAAATATTATATTATATTTAAGTATTATATAAGATAAAATATATTTGAAGAGAGTACCTAAAGAAAATTATTTTTTTATAAGCGGAGGTTGTAAATTTGTTAACACACAACAATTACTACATCCGACAACACAACATATTTTGTTTGACTTTCTCTTATTCATCTTATTTTCAGAGAAGTATAAAATGCTTAATATGAAATAACAAAAATAATAATACCGAGCACCGACTACTGACAAAATAATGTTAGATACAAAGGTAGTTAATTATAAAAAAAAATTAAAAGTCTTATATACTACGTACCTAGTACAATCACAGAATAATCAAAATATTATTATATCCCCTCACTAGTACTATACAATGTACGCTGGCAGCGCTTTAACCTAGATGCGCCATGCACGGCGTGGTAGAATAATAATCCTGATAAAAACCTAACCTATCAATTATCAACTTTTGAACAAAATCGAAAATAAATATGGTAAATTACCAAAATAGAAATATGACTGTTATGGATTATGTGTTATGGACATTTTAGGAATTACTTTATACCGATTACCGATGACAGTCTATGTACTATTTTCATTGTTCATAGTTCATTAATTGTTCACCATATTGTGTCCATACTGCTTCGATACTTCGTGTATAGCTTCTTCACGGTTTGATGGCATGTATATATTGTATAATAGTTATAATATTTGACATCTTCTATAGACTATAGTATTGTGTCTATTA